CTGGCGGTTCTCCGGGTGCTTCGCCTCGGCGGGAGCCCCTCTCTCCACAGGAGCTGCGCGAGTGGTTTGCTCGCCGCTGGAGACGTACTGCTGGAGCTGGAGCTCCTTCGGCTGCTGAGGGTACTTGTGCCGCTGGTCCCGGAGCTGCTGGGCCCTCGGGTCCGCCTGGAGCTGGAGCTGCTGCGGGTGTTGGTGCTGAGACTGCTGCTGTCCTTCCTGGCGGTGGTCCTGCTGCGGGTGCTGCTGGTGCTGCTGGAGGTCCTGCCGCTGGAGGTGCTGTTGGCGCTGGTGCTGCTGCTGAGGGTGCTGTCCCTGCTGTGTCTGGAGTCGCCGCGCGGCCTCGGCCGTACTTCGTTCCACTCCTACAGCAGGTTCTTGGTCTTTCTCCTCCTGCAGCGTGTCCACCGCCTGTTCAGTCACAGTCCCAGTTAGAGCCCGCCTCCCCACTTCCTGCTCCCTCTCCTTACACTGGTCCCACTGGAGGTCTTGCTGAGCGTCGTGAGCCTGCATCTCGTCCTGCGTCGCCTGTTCGTGTTGCTCGCGCTAGTGGTCGCGGTTCGCGTCAGCGTCCTCCTCCTGTCCCTGGCACGCACCGGATGTCTTTGCGTCCGTCCACTGCTCCTCTGCGTGCCCCTTTGCCTTCTCCTCCTGAGTCCTCCCTTCCTGCACTTACCGACCCAGAGTCCGACTCTCTTCGTGCTGCTAGTCCTACTGTCACACGTCTCCTTGCTACTGTCGTCACTGACCCCTCTTTTGAGTCCACTGCTGCGTCTGCGCTTGTTGCTGAGCTCGTCGACTTTGCTGCTCGCTGTCGTCTAGACTACGCTGCCGGTCTTGTTGCTGAGTCTGCGTCTGTCTGTCCTCCGTCCGTCGGGGGTGAGTGTGCTCTTGGCACGGACGTCCTTGAGGACAGGCAGGAGGAGTTCCAGTGTCTGGCTGCTGCTTCACCTCATCTCGCGTCCGTACTACTTGCCCCTGAGGGAGACCCGGATGCACTAGACATCCCGACTCCGCGCTCTTACGCGGAGGCCGTAGAGGGTCCCTACTCCTCTCAGTGGCAGGCAGCTATGGATGCAGAGATGGCGTCCTGGAAGTCCACAGGCACCTACGTTGACGCGGTGCCCCCTCCTGGGGCGAACATCGTCAGTGGCATGTGGATCTTCAGGGTGAAGCGGCCGCCGGGCTCTCCACCTGTCTTCAAGGCGCGGTACGTCGCTCGTGGCTTCAGTCAGCGGCAGGGAGTTGACTACTTTCAGACCTTCTCTCCCACCCCGAAGATGACCACTCTTCGGGTGCTGCTGCACATAGCCGCTCAGCGCGACTACGAGCTCCACTCTCTTGACTTCAGCACTGCTTTCTTGCAGGGTAGCCTGCACGAGGAGATCTGGCTGCGCCGTCCACCTAGCTTCACTGGGACTTTCCCTCCTGGCACCCAGTGGAGCCTCCGACGGCCAGTCTACGGTCTCCGCCAGGCACCGCGTGAGTGGCACGACACACTGAGGACTACGCTTGCGGCTCTTGGGTTTGCTCCCTCTACTGCTGACCCGTCGTTGTTTCTGCGCACCGACACTTCTTTGCCGCCGTTCTACATCCTCGTGTACGTCGACGACTTGGTCTTTGCCACAGCTGACACTGCTGGACTAGCCTACGTGAAGTCCGAGCTGCAGAAGAGACACACGTGCACAGACCTGGGTGAACTGCGCAGCTACCTTGGCTTGCAGATCACTCGGGACAGAGCACGCCGCACCATTACCTTGACTCAGTCACACATGGTGCAGCAGGTCCTTCAGCGCTTCGGCTTCACGTACTCCTCGCCTCAGGCCACTCCTCTGTCTACTCGCCACTCGCTCTCAGCTCTGCCTTCGGATGAGTCCGTAGAGTCGAGTGGCCCGTACCCAGAGCTTGTTGGCTGCCTCATGTACCTGATGACCTGCACACGCTATGTTGCTCCTGGGAGACACCGACCAGAGCACATGGCTGCAGCGAAGAGGGTGTTGCGCTACTTGTGCAGTACGTCGGGCATGGGGCTAGTGCTTGGAGGGCGGAGTCCAGTGGTCCTCACTGGGCACGCGGACGCTTCTTGGGCTGACGACCAGGCTACGCAGCGGTCGTCGCAGGGTTACACCTTCAGTCTTGGTTCCGGCTCTGTCTCGTGGCGGGCTACTCGCTCGTCCTCTGTTCTCGGCTCCAGTTGTGAGGCTGAGATCTACGCCGGGGCCATGGCTGCACAGGAGCTTCGCTGGCTCACCTACCTGCTGACTGACCTTGGAGAGCAGCCTCGTTCTCCTCCAGTGCTGTACGTAGACAACAAGGCCATGCTGGCCTTGTGTCGAGAGCAGCGCTTGGAGCACAGAACGAAGCACATTGCTCTCCGTTACTTTCTTGCTCGTGAGCTGCAGCAGCGTGGTCAGTTGCGACTTGCGTACGTGGCCTCTGAGGCCAACACTGCTGATGTGTTCACCAAGGCACTTGCGCCTTGTGACCATCAGCGCTTCTGCACTCAGTTGGGTCTTGTACCTGTCTTGCCTCACTTGCTCTCCTCTTGACCTTGCTTGTACTGTCACATATATATACCTGCTCTTGCTTGTCTAGCTCTATATATATATGTGTCCTCCTGCATGTGAACTGGCCTTGTGGCCTTGTCGTTGTGCTCGGACTGTGTGGTGACTTTGTGATCCACCCTGAGCTTGCTGTGCTTTGCGTGACTGGTCTTGTGACCCCTTGTTCTCCCCCACTTTGCCTATGGGGGTGTGTCAGAACATTATATAGCTTATGCTGTTGTGTAGGCTATAGTGGGGTATCCCATAGGGGGTACAACCCAATTAGGGTTTCCTATATGTACTCACTTCATTCATAGTTCATCCATTTCACGTTCTCCTTTCCATAGGGATCACTTGTTTTCTACTTTTCAGACGTCTCAAAACTCCCAGGGATCACTTGTTTTCTACTTTTCATACGTCTCAAAACTCCCAGGGATCACTTGTTTTCTACTTTTCAGACGTCTCAAAACTCCCAGGGATCACTTGTTTTCTACTTTTCAGACGTCTCAAAACTCCCAGGGATCACTTGTTTTCTACTTTTCAGACGTCTCAAAACTCCCAGGGATCACTTGTTTTCTACTTTTCAGACGTCTCAAAACTCCCAGGGATCACTTGTTTTCTACTTTTCAGACGTCTCAAAACTCCCAGGGATCACTTGTTTTCTACTTTTCAGACGTCTCAAAACTCCCAGGGATCACTTGTTTTCTACTTTTCAGACGTCTCAAACTCCCAGGGATCACTTGTTTTCTACTTTTCAGACGTCTCAAAACTCCCAGGGATCACTTGTTTTCTACTTTTCAGACGTCTCAAAACTCCCAGGGATCACTTGTTTTCTACTTTTCAGACGTCTCAAAACTCCCAGGGATCACTTGTTTTCTACTTTTCAGACGTCTCAAAACTCCCAGGGATCACTTGTTTTCTACTTTTCAGACGTCTCAAAACTCCCAGGGATCACTTGTTTTCTACTTTTCAGACGTCTCAAAACTCCCAGGGATCACTTGTTTTCTACTTTTCAGACGTCTCAAAACTCCCAGGGATCACTTGTTTTCTACTTTTCAGACGTCTCAAAACTCCCAGGGATCACTTGTTTTCTACTTTTCAGACGTCTCAAAACTCCCAGGGATCACTTGTTTTCTACTTTTCAGACGTCTCAAACTCCCAGGGATCACTTGTTTTCTACTTTTCAGACGTCTCAAAACTCCCAGGGATCACTTGTTTTCTACTTTTCAGACGTCTCAAAACTCCCAGGGATCACTTGTTTTCTACTTTTCAGACGTCTCAAAACTCCCAGGGATCACTTGTTTTCTACTTTTCAGACGTCTCAAAACTCCCAGGGATCACTTGTTTTCTACTTTTCAGACGTCTCAAAACTCCCAGGGATCACTTGTTTTCTACTTTTCAGACGTCTCAAAACTCCCAGGGATCACTTGTTTTCTACTTTTCAGACGTCTCAAAACTCCCAGGGATCACTTGTTTTCTACTTTTCAGACGTCTCAAAACTCCCAGGGATCACTTGTTTTCTACTTTTCAGACGTCTCAAACTCCCAGGGATCACTTGTTTTCTACTTTTCAGACGTCTCAAAACTCCCAGGGATCACTTGTTTTCTACTTTTCAGACGTCTCAAAACTCCCAGGGATCACTTGTTTTCTACTTTTCAGACGTCTCAAAACTCCCAGGGATCACTTGTTTTCTACTTTTCAGACGTCTCAAAACTCCCAGGGATCACTTGTTTTCTACTTTTCAGACGTCTCAAAACTCCCAGGGATCACTTGTTTTCTACTTTTCAGACGTCTCAAAACTCCCAGGGATCACTTGTTTTCTACTTTTCAGACGTCTCAAAACTCCCAGGGATCACTTGTTTTCTACTTTTCAGACGTCTCAAAACTCCCAGGGATCACTTGTTTTCTACTTTTCAGACGTCTCAAAACTCCCAGGGATCACTTGTTTTCTACTTTTCAGACGTCTCAAACTCCCAGGGATCACTTGTTTTCTACTTTTCAGACGTCTCAAAACTCCCAGGGATCACTTGTTTTCTACTTTTCAGACGTCTCAAAACTCCCAGGGATCACTTGTTTTCTACTTTTCAGACGTCTCAAAACTCCCAGGGATCACTTGTTTTCTACTTTTCAGACGTCTCAAAACTCCCAGGGATCACTTGTTTTCTACTTTTCAGACGTCTCAAAACTCCCAGGGATCACTTGTTTTCTACTTTTCAGACGTCTCAAAACTCCCAGGGATCACTTGTTTTCTACTTTTCAGACGTCTCAAAACTCCCAGGGATCACTTGTTTTCTACTTTTCAGACGTCTCAAAACTCCCAGGGATCACTTGTTTTCTACTTTTCAGACGTCTCAAAACTCCCAGGGATCACTTGTTTTCTACTTTTCAAACGTCTCAAAACTCCCAGGGATCACTTGTTTTCCTTGTGTCACTCTCCTTCCTTTGATCCCGTATCGGCGCATGCTCCTTCCTTCTGCCCGCCACTCTCCTTTGCCCTTCCCCCCCATCCCCCTTCCAACCCATCCCCCTCCCCCCCCCATCCCCCTTCCAACTCATCCCCCTTCACCCACCCCCCCCAATCCCCCTTTCAACCCATCCCCCTTACCCCCCTTGAAAACACCACCACAGATTCTTGAAAACATTCAAGAAGCTAATTTTTATTGTTTTCACCCACCACACCTCTTTCCCCTCCTCCCCCCCACGCATCCCTGCTCCCCCGTTTGTGTCGGATTGTTTTGACAGACATGGTGAGCGGGCTGCTGGCGCTGCACCTCCTCAGATCTTTGAGGATTCTAAAGCGTTTCCTTCTCTTCTGGATTATCCCCACCCGTTATCAGACATGGTGAGCGGGCAGTTGGCGCTGCACCGGCAGGCCACAGGCAGGTAGTCGAGGGTCGTCAGCGAGCTTACCATCCTCAAGCAGCACCTCTTATTGTGAGTCGTCCTCGCCACTCCCTTTGTGAGTCGCTGGTTCTTGATATTCGCTCTCACAAATTCTATTGTGAGTTGCTGTCTTTCATTGCGACTCCCCGTTATGACGCCTTTTCCCTCTTCCCCTTTTCCCCACCTCCCTTTCCCCCAGCTACCAGGGGCACATATCAGCAGCGCTGGTGCTGGGAGGCATGGACGTCCCAGACCCTCAAATGTACACCATCCATCCTTCCCTTCTTCCTCCCTTCTTCCACCCCTCCCTGGCCCCTCTACACTCTTGGCTCTTCCCCTTTCTCCCCCTCACATACTTCCCCCAGCTACCAGGGCCACATTTCAGCAGCACTGGTGCTGGGCGGGATGGACATCTCAAGCCCTCATCTCTACACCATCCATCCTTCCCTTCTTCCCCCCTTTGTCTGCCCGACCACCATTCCCTCCCCCCCTCCCCCTCTCCCCCCAGCTACAAGGGGCACATTTCAGCAGCACTGGTTGGTTCTAGGTGGCATGGACATGACAGGCCCGCAGCTGTACACCATCTATCCCTCCCCTCTTCCTCTTCTTACCCCCGCTTCCCCTTCCTGCCCCTCCCCCTCTCCCCCCAGCTACCAGGGGCACATCTCAGCAGCGCTGGTGCTGGGTGGCATGGACATGACGGGCCCGCAGCTGTACACTATCTATCCGCATGGCAGCACGGACCGCCTGCCCTTTGGGTCCACAGGATCAGGATCGTTGAAAATTTGTTACGTAAATCTAAAAAATATAGAATGTTAGGTGGTAGTTATGCAGTCACTTGTACTGCATCGCTTATGTAGAGCATGCAGTTTTGAAACTTGAACCCTGCAAGTAGTAGCCCGGTACCGTAAGAGTTGTTACACCAACACACTCTGAAATATCAATGTCATAAATCAAGCACTTCTTGTAAGGGTCTAAAAAAAAATCGCCATGAAGAATAGGGTGCAAAGCAAACCCATCCGTGTAGTAAGGTTCACAAGGGTATTGTACCTTGATAAACAGAGGCCTGCTTACAGGATTAGTGGGAATAAAATACCTGGAGTTCGGGATGAAGACCCGGGGGCCTCTCTTGTCAGAACATCATATTGCTTACTTTATGTAGGCTATAGTGGGGTAGCCCATAAGGGGTACAACCCAATAAGGATTAGTACTTGTACCCAACTCTTACATAGTTCATCCATTCTCGTTCATTCTTCTGACATGGTTTCAGAGCAGGTCCTTCGCTAGGACCGAATTTTTTAGGGCCCACCACAGAGCTGCCCCACTAGCTGCCCTGCCCTACTAGCGCACCGCCCTGCTGGCTCACGCGCCGCCCTCTGCAGCCCTCGTGCCGCACCTGCTGCCCCGCGCGCCGCCCTTATGCAGCCCGCCCGTCGACCCTAGGCCCCGCGCGCCCGTCGACCCTAGGCCCGGCCCGCCCATCGACCCTAGGCCCCGCCCGCCCGTCGACCCTAGGCCCCGGCCCGCCCGTCGCCCCTGCTGCCCCGCGCGCCCGTCGACCCTAGGCCCGGCCCGCCCGTCGACCCTAGGCCCCACCCGCCCGTCGACCCTAGGCCCCGGCCCGCCCGTCGCCCCTGCAGCCCCGCACGCCCGTCGACCCTAGGCCTAGCCCGCCCGTCGCCCCTGCTGCCACGCGCGCCGCCCCATGCGGCCCGCCCGTCGACCCCAAGCCCCGCGCGCCGCCCCTTGCGGCCCGCCCGTCGACCCTAGGCCCCGCGCGCCGCCCCTAGCCCCTGCAGCCTGCGAGCCGTCCTTGCAGCCCCGCGCGCCGCCCCTGGTGGCCCTCTCGCCGCCCCTGCTGCCCTGCCCGCTGCCCCTTGCGGCCCTCTCGCAGCCCCTGCAGCCCTGCGCGCCGCCCCTTGCGACCTGCCCGCCGCACCTAGGCCCGCCGGCCGCCCCTAGGCCCCCGAGCCGCCCCTCTTGCAGCCTGCGCGCCGCCACTTGCAGCCCGCTTGCCGCCCCTTTGCTGCTGCCTGCCCTGTTCCCTGCGCTGCCAGGCTCCTATCCGCCCTGTGTGCTGCGCCGCTATGGCTTCTCGCCGCGTTCCCGCGTTCGATCATGAGGGCCGGCCGATCCAGTTTGACACGTGGCTCGACGGCCTGCAGCTGTACCTACTGAGCGACTCTAGAGACAGCGTTTCGTTGTTTGACCACACGTCTGGCGCCTCTCCCGCCCCTCCCGCCACAGCTGACACTCCGACTCGCTCACAGTGGCTTACTCATGACGGTGCTGCTCGCTTAGCCATTCGCAACCACCTGCCGTTAGCCGAATGCGCTCACTTCGGACAGCACAAGACCGCACAGGCACTGTACGACGCTGTAGTCGCCCATTACTCCTCGCCTGCCTCTGCTGCTCTAGGCCATCTTCTACTGCCCTACCTGTTTCCCGAGCTATCCGCCTTTGCCACAGTAGAGGACCTGGTTTCCCACCTTCGCACTAGCGACGCTCGCTACCGCGCTGCCGTCCCAGCAGAGTTCCTTGACAGGAACCAGCCCCCAATGTTCATCACTCTCTACTTTATAGTCACCCGCCTCCCTGACTCTCTTCGCTCTGTCAGGGACCACTTTCTCGCACTTGACCCCACAGTCCTCACTGTTGACCTACTCGAGCAGCACCTCTTTGCAGTTGAGACTAGTGTAGTCGTTGTAGGTGCTGCTCGTTGCACTCCTCGCACGCCCTTCTTTGAGGGGTGTTCCCCCTCCCCCCTTGCCCCCTCCTACGCCTCTGCTGCTGCTGTTGATGTCCTTGGTACTGAGGATGTCGGGGCTGCTTCTGCTAGTGGGAAGCGCCGCAGCAGCAAGGGCAAGGGTGGCAGGGGTGGTGGCGGTGGTAGCGGGGGTGGTGGTGGGGGCAGCAGTGGAGGTGGTGGAGGCAGTGGAGGTGGTGGCGGTAGTGGGAGTGGTGGCGGGAGTGGGGGCTTTGGTGGCGGCGGTGGTGGCAGCGATGGGGGTGGCGGTAGTGGCGGCAGTGGGAGTGGTGGCGGTCGCGCTGGAGCTACCCAGCGTGGAGGTTCTGGCGGTGGCCAGAGGCAGCAGCAGCAGCGTCGGAGCGAGACCCCGTCGCCCCAGCAGCTTCGTGAGTGGTTTTCTCAGCGTGGGGCGTCTGGGGGTAGTGGTAGCTGCCTGTATGTAATTCGCACGGGTGACTATATTGGTCAGACATGCGGGAAGCCTCACTCTCAGCACCGCCGCTTCTCTTGCCTCGACGACGCCTGGCGCGCAGAGTTTGGTGACGAGGCTGAGCGCCCCCGCTGGGCAGAGCTGCTTAGGTCTGGAGTTGCTGTCTTTGACCTAGACTATGATGATATCCTTGCTGCTATGTATGCTTTGTCTGTTAGTGCTGAGGGTGACTGCTACCTGTGTGTGCCGCCTGACCCAGGTATAGAGGCTGCTGCTCTAGGTGCTAGTGAGTCTGCTCTCCCTGGTACTGCGCCTGCTAAGGCCTTGCACACCTTCACGCTTGACTCAGGTGCTTCACGTTGTTTCTTTCGCGACAGCACCACCCTCAATCCTCTCTCTACACCTGAACCGGTCAGACTGGCTGGCCCCTCCGGGGGCCCAGTCCTTGCCCATTCCTCCACTGTTCTCCCGTGTCCGGCGGTTCCGTTCGGCTCACTGTCAGGCCTTCACCTCCCCTCGTTCTCTACAAACTTGGTGAGTATCGCTGCCTTCCAGGACGCGATGGTCACTACCACCACTCCTGGGGGTCACCGTGTGTTGATCTGCACGTGTACACGGACGGGCCGCCACCTGGCCACGTTCACTCGTCGGCCTGGGTCGAGTTTGTACACACTGGCTACTGAGCCTCCTCAGGTAGCTGCGTCTGCCCAGGTGTCCACGTCAGGTCCGGTAGCATCCCCTTGCTCGTGTCGCCTCCTGTCGCACCAGACTCTCCTGTGGCACCACCGCCTTGGTCACCCCTCCCTGCCACGCCTTCGTGGCATGCACTCCCACCTCCTTGTCTCTGGTCTTCCCCAGTCTTTGCCTCCCCTCCCGCCCTCGCCTGCCCCGCCCTGCCTTATTTGCGTCGAGGGGTAGCAGCGCGCCGCTCCTCACTCCTCCTCGTTTCCCTCGACGACTGCTCCCCTTCAGACTCTCCACATGGACGTGTGGGGCCCAACCCGCTCCAGTGAACAGGGCCGCGAGCGCTACGTTCTGCTGGTTGTTGACGAATACACGAGGTACACCAAGTACTTCCCCTTGCGCAGCAAGGGTCAGGCCCCTGATGTCTTGATCCCTTGGATCCGTGCAGTCCATCTCCAGCTCCGCGAGCGGTTCCGCCAGGATCTTCCTGTCCTGCGTCTGCACTCTGATAGAAGTGGTGAGTTCTCCTCCGACCTCTTGCGGGACTTTTGTCATGGGGAGGGCATTCTCCAGTCGTTCACGCTTCTGGCATCCCCTCAGCAAAAAGAGGTTGCTGAGCGCCGCATTGGCTTAGTCATGGAGGTGGCTCATACGTCCATGATCCATGCGGCTGCTCCCCATTTTCTGTGGCCGTTTGCGGTCCGGTACGCTGCGCATCAGCTCAACCTCTGGCCCCGTGTCTCCTTGCTAGAGACCTCGCCCACACTGCGTCGGACGGGGGAGGTTGGCGATGCGTCAGTGTTCCGGGTCTGGGGCTCTCTTGCCTTTGTTCGTGATACGTCCGCGGACAAGCTCTCCGCCCGCGCTATTCCCTGCGTCTTCCTTGGCTTTCCCCCTGCCGCGCCTGGCTGGCAGTTTTACCACCCCACCTCGCACCGTGTCTTCCCCTCTCAGGACGTCACGTTTGACGAGTCGATTCCCTTTTACCGTCTCTTCCCCTACCGCTCTGCCCCTCCCCCACCCTCGCCGCTCTTCCTTGCTCCAGGTCCCCCTCCGGCAGACCCCCTTCCCCCCCAGGGTCTTGCTCCCTCAGGTGTGTCTCAGGTAGACCCTCTCCCTGGTACTATGCCTGTTGAGGTAGCTGTTGACTCAGGTGTTGCTCGAGGTGCTGCGTCTGGGGGTGCTGCGTCTGGGGGTGCGGAGCCTCTGGGTGCGGAGACTGTGGGTGCTGATCCTGGGGGTGCGGAGCCTGGGGGTGCTGAGCCTGCGGGTGTGGAGTATGGGGGTACTGAGCCTGAGGGTGTGCAGCTTGGGGGTGCTGAGTCTAAGGGTGCGGAGTCTGGGGGTGCTAAGCCTCGTGGTATTGCTTCTTCTTGAGGTCCTGCGGGTGCTTCGCCACGACTGTCTCTCCGGCCGAAGCCTCTCTCCCAGCAGTAGTTGCGCGAGTGGTTTACTCAGCGCAAATGCCTTCGGAGTGGAGATGCCGGAGCTGGAGATTCTGCCGCTGGAGACACTAGAGCTGGAGGTGCTGGAGTTACTGCTGGAGCTGGTGGTACCGGAGGTGCTGCAGCTGCTGGTCCTGGAGGTGCTCGTACCAGGGGTACTGGAGCTGTCGGGACTGGTAGTGTTGGGGGCGCTGGAGCTGGAGACGGAGCCTGGAGCTACCGGGGCTGGAGGTGCTGGAGCTGGAGGCATTGACGCTGGTGGCGCTGGAGCTGGAGGAGCTGGAGCCGTTGGCGCTGGAGCTGGAGGCACTGGCGCGGGAGGCGCTGGAGCTCGAGGAGCTGGAGCTATTGACCCTCGAGCTGGAGGTGCAGTGTCTGGTGGTACTGGTGCT